AATTAAAAACAGTAAACCAGGTAGCAAAATGAAGACACTAACAAGCCAGGGAATGCCAGGACTAAGGTTAGACCATGCACAGACTGGTTGCTTTTGATAACATGCAGTTCTTGTACAGGAATCAAGACCCTACGCTGGGACCTCAGAGACTTAGACTGGCTTCTTGATGCATGAGAGTCCTCTGTGATTCGAACAACCACTTGAGGCTACATTTAAACAAGACCCAGAGATAAATTTTAGGCACTGTTCACAAAGAACCCACAAATTCAATTTAAATGCTTATGCTCCACTTATAATACAGGAACACAAAAAACCAAACATGAATGGAATGTCAAGTCTGTATGATAAAGAGAGGATTACGCTAAGGTTAGCTACCTCTCTTAGAGCTATAAGCAATTTTGTTAAAAGTGGGGTGAGGCTATTTCTGTCAGCAGTGTCCAAAAGAGAAGTAAACTGGTATAATTCAAACACATTCCCATGTGTTCTATTTGGTACAGGTCCCAAGCAAGCAGAGAGGGGGGCACCGTAGTTTCTTAACCATCCTCCACACTGCAAGCACAACAGGATAAAAAAAATACATAGCTCTCCCTAGAATGGAAATAAAAGATTCCATGCTTCTACAGAGCAGTACCCTAGTCAGTTCAGACTTTTTTTGGAAGAGGAAGAATTTGTAGTATTATTAAAGTACTTTCAGTAATACAAAAATTGAGTAGGTAACTAAAAGATTTAATTACAGAAACAATTTAGAGGCCTTATATGTCTCTTACTACTCTAAAATTAAGTACGAACATATACAATACTTTCAGTGCTACTGCATTATTTACAGTGTTTGATTTTTATAGAAAAAAAAACCCAAAAAAACAACAAACCCCGATAACATGACTGGAAGGAACTGAAAAGGTAAGCTGAACTTAGAAAACAACTTACGGTTTCTGGCCATCATAGGTGAAAGGCCAATATCTGAGTAAACAAAGTATGATCCCTACAGGGTTGTTGGGCAGCAATACTAACATTCAGTGCTCTGGCTAATTAAACCTTATTTTTTAAAAAGAGCTTAGTGTTTTTATGCTTATGGTTATATGGTAATATGTAAAATTGAACAAGACGATCTCTGACTAGAGAAATGTGAAAGTTTTGTAAGAAAGTATCTTCATTTTACCAGCTAATAATTGCTTCTGTCTTACCCCACACTGGTTCTAGTGTTTTCTCCAAAGCTTAAAAGCACAGTTTTTGAAAGGGACAAAATTTCTTCCTAAATATTGGCAAGCCAGCTTGAGGGACACCTCACTGGGTTGCAGAGCTTGGTGGATTCCAAGAATCCTTAACAAAAAAACAGGTGCAACTAGCAACACTGTTTTATCCGTACCTGTTTTTCTGGCATAAAAACAGAACTGGAAACTAGAAATACAGTGACACTACGACTTCAAGAGGTTCTCCTTTATTTCAGTATTTTTCTAAAAATGTACATCTACACATCTAACAATATCAACACCACTGTCTTCTTTCCTGTGTTTTAAGTACGTGGGCCATACATGTCTATCAAAGACACCCAGTAGGTCAGGAACAGTATAGTTACATGTACTTCTGCCTTGGCACTGATTGCACTGACTTTTGATACAACTGCAAGATACTACAGCCTTTAGCTATTTCACCAGCCTTGCTATAAAAGCAAGGCTTCCAAACGACGACAAAAAAACACGCCAATGAAAGAGTTTTTTCCTCCCTAAATGACTTTTTCCCTTTCCTGTTTATCAAACCTTTTATTTTTCTGTTAAAATTAGTATTTTTTAAGTAGTTACAGGATTTTTCTCTTTCAACACATTTTTGCATATCAGAAAAAAACCCTTCTATTTTAAGTGGCTGCCACAAAAAAAAATTAAATGGGGACAGATTAATAAATGTCTACATAATAAACAACAACTGATAGTTAAAATTCAGAGGACATTTCCTATGAGACTGTGCACAGTCTAAATAAATACTTTTGTAAGGCTAAGGAACAAGCACAGTAGCATTTTCAAAATGGCACACCACCAAATCAAGACGACTGCGCTCCTGCTACAAAAGGCAAGTAAAAAGCATATGCAATTTAGGCTCCATTAACTCTGCAAACATGGAGACCACTGACAAAGAAGAGCAGTATCTACAGAGTGCCTTGTTTACTGCTGCTCTGTCATAAGGCCACTCTGGGAATTTCTATCCTAGAGAAAAACAGTGAAACTGCTTCCTGATGACATTGCCCATCTGACCTACAGTAACAGCTTTGACGTAGCACCTATTAGCATCCATAGATTCAATCTTGCAGTCAGGGACCCTGAACAGTACGGCTGAGGACAGAAGCCTTATACAGAAGTAGGTGTCATTGCTATTAAACCCTCCAGAGTTTGCAGTATTGCAATTTAATTATGAGGAGACCATTCTGAAAAGCTCCACTTTCTGTGCTCTACTACAGCTCCAAGAAACCAAACATGTAATTTCCAACATATGTTACTCATACTGCTGTGTAGTTGGAGCTCTCCATTAACTTCTGAGAGTCTGAACTGACAGTCTCAGTTTGCCTTTGTACACATACCAGGAACATACAATTGGGAAAACTAAAGAAGTCTCAACCCTGGTTCTCTGAGGAGAAAGTGTCTATAAAAAGGCATGGAACACTGGTTGAGGACAAAGTTACAAAAGGATGCATCCTATGATGTACCATTAGCTTGGCGCATGACAGCAAAAATCGTTCCTCTTCCCTTTCTGGAAAGGGACCAACACCTACAAGGGATTAGTTTATTGAACTGCTTGTAATTAACACTCAGTTTTTTGGATGGAAAATACAGCAAATTATTACAGTTTCCTTGTAGTGCTAGAATAAATGTCCTAGAGTGACGAGACCCACAGGTCTACAATGAAATATAGAATACTGGCAAATTATATTCCACTTGCACTGATTATATGTTTCCTATAAAATTTAATGAATAAATTTCCTGTAAAATTTAATGAATAAACCTTGTTAAGAAATTAAATCTAAATATTGCATTCTCTATGTTTATGTAAACACTGGCACACAGTAATATCTGAAAGACCCTTCGAAGACACTCCATAACTTGGGGCACATTCTTCCTTGTTTCCTATGGAAATAAGGCTACAACGTTAGTCTGTCTGCACACCTATGATCCAAAAGAACAGTGATCTTGCAGACAAATAAGGTATAAGACAGTCAAGTCTTATGAAAAACAAGCAATTAGGATTAGGATAGCCCTAACAGAAGACATCCAGGGACCCTATGGTTTCCAGAAAGGTAAAGGCTTAGTCTGGTATTTGCAGGCCCAAAGTCAGTCACAAATTAGAAATCCAGAAGAAATTAAGATTCTTGTCTTCCCAGACTGACATCGAATGGTAAGCAGGCAATTGGAACACAGGATGGAAAAAAGACAAGATGAAGTTTTGTTGAACCATGTAAGTGTATACAGACATGCGCTGCCTAGATTACAACACTATCAGTTTGTACTCCAACACTATGCGATTTGGACTAGAAAACATGCCCATCTATTTCTAAGGGAAAGCATTTACCTTTATGAAACCCAGTAGTCCTGTACTGCACGTTGACAGATGAAAGTATTTTCTAGAATACGTGCCTACTGTACTCTCCACCAAAGAGAGCCACGATTTCAGTACATGCTCTGACAGCTGTTTACACAATTCAGCTGCGAAGACCGGCTGGTTCAGCACCAGTTCTCCACAGTACGCTAAGAATTCCACAAGAGATGACTCAGGCCTTTTTTTTTTCCAGCATCCATTGGAGGTAGAAATCTAAACTGCGTAAGTCCCCTTTTTCTTTAGGAAGGAAAAGTAGTTTTCAAAATTAAAATTCAGATGTCTCACGTTATCATTCTATTTGTTGGCAATGATTCCATAAGATGAAACTACAGGATGCTGGGAGAACTTACTATAAGTCTGGATGCCACTTACTCTACTTACGACGATGTTTTTAGTATTGCAAATATCCAATATGAAATGTAAATATCAAGCAAAAAATATAGATGAGATTTTAAGTCATTCCCAAGAAGTTACCATGAATTGCTCTGTCTAAAGAACACTTCATAAATACATCTTTCAGAACACAGAGTTCCAAGCCCAAAAGCTGAGTCAAATACATTCTCCTGATAAAGTAGCAAATAAGGTGTACCTTATTTCCTCTATTTTATAACACTTAACTGAACACATATAAAGGAATGTAACTGAAAAGACAATGAACTGAGGTTGTAGAATAACAGTGAAAATTTTAGATTGCAAATAACTTTTCTAACAATCAGTGACAACAATCCTACACTTGTGAACCACTGCTCATTGTAGTATCTGTATAACAGAGTCCTTTGATACTGCTGAAATCTACAAATGTACCTGCTAATCGGTCAGAATGTATATATCTAAATTTATCACCACATGACACCACATCACCATTACTCTACAGAGTCTTTGCAAAGCAGGACAGCAAAAAAGTAACTGCTGCCCTACAAATTCCTAGAATAGGGCATTTCAGTCTTACAGCTTTAACATTCTCAAAATAAAAAAATAAAAAAAAAAAATCAATAGCAACTGCTACACCAAATTAAACAAATCATTTCTGGAACGTTTTAACACAGTAATTCATTTCTTATTATAAGTGACATTAATACTAGTGGAGGGTGGGGGCGTGTTGGGTTTTTATTTTTTTTTTAATTATTATTTTAAAGATATACTGAAATTCCAAACAACCTTAAACTAGTTAGTAGCTTAAAAAGTACTGAAATAATCCATTAAATATTTACAAGAAAAAATAAAAATAAAAAATCAGACGTTGACAGCACCATACCTGTGCCCTTGCATGAACTTCCCCAAGGAGACCAGAGTACTGCTGTTCCAGATATGTTTTTTGTTTCTGCCAACAGCTTTCCTGTGCTTTCATCTGTTCAGCCATTTCGCTAAAAGCATCTTCCTGGCTCTGCTGAAGCTCCTTCACGGTATCGGACTTGCTCTTACAAATACATTCTAGGTGAGATATCTGTGTGACATGCAATTTAAAAAATTCTTTTACCTCCCAAAACACCTTTTTACTTTAATTGTATATATTAGTTTAAACACAGGCTATTCCAGCATAAAAACCAAATTGTAATTTCTTCAACACACTTATTAATACTAAGTAAAAATCTTTCGTAACAGATTGCTTACTTGAATCTTTCAAGAAAACCAAGACATTATTTAGGAATAACGAATTTTCCTTGGTTTCAGTTTTGTCATCCCTATACCACCTTGCATATACCTGTTGCCTTCTTTGTTGGAAACCTGAACTAAACACTTCCCGTATTACTTTGAAACAAGTGCAGTAAATCCTGTGCTGCTAAATTAGTAACCCAAGTATACCAGTTCTTCAGCATTTTGCAAGGGTTGCAAGTAATAATGAAAAAATTGCCCTTTATTATTTTTTTTTGTTTGTTTTACTGGAAAGTTGAAACATTCCACATATTATTCAGTATTAAAATAATTTCATGAAATTTCAGTGCACAGAATGTTTTTCTCCCAAGTAGTTCATTTGTTTATGATGTGTTTTCAACAAGTATGAAGGGATTCACTCTGTGGTCTAGCTTTGCAGGTCCCATGCAAACTAAATGGAGGAATGAATCAAGTTAACAATGACCTCTAAATACATATGTCTATACTTTGTTACTAGTTACTAGAATATCAGCAAGATACCTCCCAGACAGACCACACAGAACTGCAGGAGAAAAAAACCTGTTCTCAGTAAGCAGGTAACACAGAAGTAACTGCCCCAAATCCCTGAAAAGCCGGCAGGAACATGAAAAGAGCCCTAGAGACCTCACAATCAATGTCAATAACCATACTAAATTAAAAAGCAAGCAACAATAATAAACAAGCCCCCCAAACACTGTCAACAATGTTCAAGCCCTTCCCTTACATTCCCTTTCCTCCTTGACTTCAAAAGGAAAATAGAAACGTACATCCAATCTGCATAATCCCTCTTTACTAAATTCCACTGACTGCTGGGGTGTTTACTAAACAATGGGAAAAGTGAAAACCATTCCCTGTAACCACCCTTGCCCCTTAATCAGGCCAGAAGAGAGGCCACAATTCCAGCAGATGAGAAACTCCTGAAAGAGCTTTCCCCTCCTATGCCTCAAGAACAAAATGTCAGAGCAGCCAAGATCTGGAGTCACTGTATTAGACTGTAAGACTAGCCTGATAAATGCAGGCAGAACATGAACTGAAATCTTAAAGAGTAGCATATGTTACCCTTTGGAGCCAGTTTAAGTTATTTAAAAATAAGTCTTTTCTTTCCTGAAAACACAGGGATTTCTGGGGAGAAAGGCCAAGTAAGCTTATACATATTAAAATCATTCAGAAAAGTACGGCTTCTCCCTTAAACAAATATTGACATATTTTATGAAAATAAGTATTTTCTACTGTATTTCTAGAAACAAATTTCATAATCCAAAAGTTACAATTAAACCAAATAAACACACTAGCATTTTTTCAGATAATACCTCTGAATCATAAACATTAAAATTAAAGATGAAGATCCTGAAGTACGTGCATTTTGTTTCTGTTTTATGCTAAAATAAAGACTTGCTTTATTAGTGTAAATGACTAAGTTCTTTGAATTGCTTCATCAGTAAGATTAATTTATTTTCTTTTAATTAGGTCCCTGTGGCTAATATTGGCTAGTACTATTAGCATGTCCTGCACAGAAAGTGGAGCTTAGAGACTTCATACAGACTTCAGTCACATTTACATGCCCACAGCAATGGCATCAAACTGAGTTGTAGACAAGCCATAATTAATGGTATTGAATTATTAACGTCCAAATTCTTTTTGAAATAAGATGAATGTCAGTCCTTTTTAATGATACTGTGATGTGGACAAATGTCACTGAATTTAATAGCAGTAGCTAGTGCCTAAGGACACTTACCTTCTCATTAGCCCCGTTGAGGTCTAAGATAAGGGCATCAACATTCTCCTGCAAGACTGCACAAAGCTCAGACCAAGAGAATCTATCTAGGATGCCTTCTGGTTGTTTTATAAGCACACAGCCTGCTACCAAACGCTGATATAAGCTATGGAGGAAGGTTAGCTTCTCCTGAGACAAAAAGAAAAATTAACTGTTGTATCTGAACAGTGTTATAATCCAAAGAGATGCATCGTATGTGTAGTAATGCGAGCTGCACACAGCTCAAAAAACCACAAAGCTCATTCCTAAATCTTTTCAAAATTCCTCAATCCCTTGTTAATATTTGCAGTCATACATATTAAAGCCAGAGTAAGGAAACTGTTATTACAAAATCTGATTAGATATGGTATACAAATAAAGCCAGCCCAGTCTTGCAGTGGCCACAACTAGTACCTGATACAAATAAAACTTTCCGTGCTATTAGTAGATGCAATCTGATCATTCACGTTAACACATTCAGGTACATTCAAATTATATCCACCTCCTGTATCTGCACAGCACATAGGAAAGTGTCTGATTAGCTGAGCAGCACAGCACACTGCTTATACAATTACCACTCTAAAGTCTTTAAAAAATTATTTTTGTGTGGATTATGTGTGAAAAATATACTTATGGCTTCACCAGTTAAAATCCTCAAGCCACGCCTCATTCATTTACACTCATTTTCATGTAAATATAATAGATATAAATAAATATTTTAGTGTAAAAATAATAGCACGCAACAGAAATTCCAGCCTTCATCCTTTTAGTACATATATGCAACTTAGCAATTTCAATTAAGACAACAATAGAAAGCTGGTATCTCAAGAGCCACAAGAAACAGAGCCAAAGTCAAAGTCAGTAAACCATTGTAAAGGTTCCCACTCTTTTCCAGAGGCCTTGGATGAGGCTTTACATTAAGAAATTGTAGATTACTGAGATGGGGAACTATGCTTTTTCTGAGGCCTTTCCATTATACTTCAATGCATGTTCTCAAAATTACTCAATGGTATTTTTAGGCAATAAAAAACTGCAGTTTAGTTTAAACTTTATTTCTAGCAGATCTCCTCATTCCTTACTGAAAATACAGTGTGCCACCACCATTACATTTTTGCTTGAGCTGTGACAAACCAAGGATGGTAATTATCCATTTGGTGTGAAAACGGGACCCCAAGACCCAAAATCAATTCACACATGTTGAATGCAACCACAGTGTTGTAGACATGCTGACTTTACAATATAGCCAAGCTTCTAGTTTCCTTCACTTTAATCATTATCTGATGTGTATAACAATTCCAGCTGCTTCATGTGGACACAAATTAAATACCAGACTGTAAAAGAGGTGGAAAGAATGTTTTCTTTTTACTCAATTGGCATCCATGTCCAAACTTGGGGAAGTAATGAGCTCAATATGCACAACCATGATAAAGTGTATCATTGCTATTGCTAGTACTTTTTTGCTTTATTGGGGGAGGAAAAGTGATAAAACTAACATCTATAAACAAATATTAGGAGAAAGAAAATAGTTCTGAAACAAGACTTTGTGCAGCAATTCCCACATACAGCACATCACAAGAAGCTAACAAGTAACAAGTAAGAATTTCTAGGGTTTGTGTCATGCAGGCAAAACAACCTCAACTCCACATTTGCTATCTACCAAATTGCCATGTGAATCAGTAATTAACTACACATGAGGATGACTATTGTATGTTCCAATTGTAAAACATTTTTGTTAACTTTCAATTTGAAAGAAAGAAATAATTGTTCATCAAGGCATAGCTCTTTAAATAAACTTAGTCGTTCAAAAATTCAGAAAAGTGGAAGGGTTAAGTTATTAATTCTGATATAGAAGGAAGGAGAAACAGTATGTCTTGAGATCTTCTAGATATTAAATACATATTTCAAAATACGTATCTTAAAATCATATTTTGGGGATAAATCTGTTAAGACTAAGAATAACCATTTGATGTATGTAAATGTATAAAGTTGAGATTAAATAAAGACTCTCTTTGACAGTCATCTTGTCTTTGGTAATACCTCCATATCCTTCTGGTAAGCCCTGGTAAGCTTCTGGATTTCATTTTCAGATTCTGTGACACGTACTTTCTCCTTCTCCCAGCATTGCCGTACATTCAGTAGTTCAATTTTTAAAGTTCCTATTAAAGTCTCTCTGTCTGCACACTTAGTGTGCAGATGATTTAACTCTTTATTGGCATCAGTTAGATTATCCTGAGCTTCCTGTAGAACAGAGGCATGGAACAGAAAAGAATTTTACTCTATAAAATGTTACCATAATCCAGTGCTCAGTATCTGAGGAAATAAACAGTCATATAGCCACATGTGTTCAGAAGACGTCAGGCTAAGCTAAGTAGCTTTCAATAATAGAATTTCAAAACTAGCAACAATCTTTCTCCACAGCTTATAATTAGATGGCATCAGAAATACATCTCAGAGTTAAAACCTCCATGATGCAGTGACCTTTTGAATCCCCTCTACCCCCACAACTGAGATGCAGAATGCATGGACGCAAGTTATCCTCCACAGAGTAAAGAGCTCTCAGAATTAGTGAAAAGATACATTATGTTCCCAAGTAAATTTTTGATTCATCACAGCTGAGTAAGTAGACAACACAGACATCTGTTGTTACCCACTGTATTCTTTGCCTGCACAGTAAAAAAATGCAAGGACTCTCTTTGGAGACTGGACCATCAGAAGACAGTAGTAATCAGCAATGGTCATAAATACAATCATTACATTACCAGTACCAAATCTCACAAGGTAAACAAAGAACTTAATACACTACCCCTTTTCAGTCAGAAAATTGCCTAGATGGAGTGGACAGATACACATGCTTTCCACTCCTACAAGCACTGCACTTCCAGCACTGCTAAAGTTTGCTATAGGTCAAACTGAATGCACTGCTTGTTTTCCATAAAATCATAGCTGCTTATATGGGAAATATAATAGGAAAGATAATTCTAAATTCATCAGACAGTGACAACTTTTATTCTTCTAAATGAAAATACTAAAAGATTAAAGCAATGTCAGTTTTGTCACACAAATGCTGTCAGACTGGATCTAGTCTGCATTGATATATACAGTTTGATTAGCAAAAATTTAAAGAGAAACTAGTGAAGTGCATAAAACCATCACCATCTGTGTGTAGCAAACTCAGTTTTTGCATGAAGAATACAAGTATCTGTTGCAATCAGTTGGAAAATTTTTAGGTGCCTTACAAAGGTGCTGCAACAGAAGGACTTAAGTCCTCTGAACATAAATTGGTAAAGAGAGTTCCAATCAGATGACAGGAGATCAGATGCAAGTATCAATTAGTATGAAGATTCAGTGAGTGTTGCAGAAGCTTCTGTGACTAAAGTGATAAAGCAGCATATTCCCAGCAAAAGAATCTGAGAAACACTGGGAATAGAGACGTTCTATTTTGGCAGTAATATAATATACTGCCAGTTGGGAGATTAAGTTTAACCATGACCTCAGGACTTCCTCATTCCCTTGGCCATTGAGGTAACCAGACAGGACATTACTAAAGTGGTGTGTCAGCCAAAAACAGAGATCAAAAAAATTCTTGTTCAGAAACTAAATAAAAGAGTTCTCAAGTATTTTTATCAGTTCGCAGGTAGATTTTACACTTTAAGAAATTTTGGGTTGCACACTGTTAAGGATGACCTGACGCTTCATACATGCATTAACTTGTCTGATAGACATGACAAAAATTAACAAAGGGAAGGACATCTTTAATAAAACGTGCTTTCATACAAACAGAGGTAATTAAATTTTCTTCCCCTTTTCTTGAGAAAAAACAAGTAACAGGAAAAAATTACTGATGCCGATTTCAATATAAAACAATACTTTGCAAATTAATAAATCTATTTCAAATTATTTCAGAAGTGCAACCAGTTATGATCAGAAAGGATCAGTTAGGTAGTCTAAGGTGGTAACCAGCATAAAGCAGCATGACTTCACACAAGCTTGCAAGGTAAACTCGCCTGCTCAACAGAATACAACAACAGAGAGACTTACTCTGATAAGGTAAAAAGATACCATAAATCCAGAAAAATACATTCTTTGCAGAACTTTCAAATTTTATGTAAATTCCTGAAACCATACCTTAAGGTCTTCACTTAAAGCACACATTTTGTCTTTGGATATCTCAAGTTCTTTAGTCATCTTTTCACACAAAGCCTCTAACTTCCCAAGCTGTGAAAAATAGAGAGGTCAAACAGGCTTTTACAAAAAAGCTACATAATCCCTTGAATACAAGAATAATGTATATAAATTGAAAAAAAAAAAGTTTCCAATTCCTTTGACAATATTTACATTCCATACAATAATGTGCTATTACAAAAGCATTAAGATTTTTATAATGATTTAAGATAAACAGCAGTGGCAGAATCCAAAACTGAGTCCACTATTAAATCTCCCATTAACTTTCAAAATACCTGACAAAAACACAAACTTTGAAACACATCTGAAAATGTAATAAATTCAGATTATGATCTGGACAGTGGTTTGAGAAAACAAGTTCTCAAAGTCAGTGGCCTTTTGCAGAAACTGTCGAGCTACAATCCTGGTCTCTACTTTTTATGGAGTGCTGGACAGTACTCACATACCCATAAAAAGCACCCATGTTCCCAAGACGTGTTGTAACTACTGAACTATTTGTGGTGTTACAAGAAACCACATTAGAGGTAGTTCAGGATCAGTACATGTACTAGCTTCACCTTCCACTTTCAAAAAAGATAACGAAATTATCATTATAATCTGCGTCTTTATCTGATGATGAAGTTAGCAATACAAATGTCTGAAAGAAAGCATCGAATAGAAATGTATTATAGTTCAGGTTACTGCTGGTATTTAAGCATTAAGGGGCAACTCAGAAGTAAAATAACCCATTTACAAAATTTACAAATTACTTTGGAAATTAGGTTTTTGTTTTATCTCAAATCAGGACACTTGGCAGAACCCTTAGAAATAATTACAGTAAATTACAGAATGCTACTGGAATATTTGCAGTCTTTTTGCTGGTTTACTAGTGTTCTCTCTCTCCCCAAAAATATTCTAGCCCCTGCACTATACAGAGAGTTGAAAGCCTGTTATCTGCCAAAAGCAAAACACTTATACACCATTCAGTCACACAAATGAACTAGATTGTTTAATCTAATGTTTAACACAGTAAGTCAGGGGTGACACATGACAAGTTTACCAGCATATTTCACACATACATACAGGTGTATACATATATTAATAGCTCCATCAATACGCAGGGTCTTGTTGAAAATCTATAAAAAGAACCACTACGTAATTACTCAAAACTAAGCCCTTACCGCTGTGTATTAAAACATTCTGTTTTTATTGCACAGTGCTCTTCATAGTCCCTTTGTGCATTATTGTATTATTAAAAAGTTTTATTACTAAACATATCTAATATACAAAAAGCCAAAAGCAGTGTTATCTATGGGGGTGGGGATAATCAAGAAGGACAGAGCACTGCCCTTTCTGTGCACCATGAAGGTGCTTGGTGATCTCTGGCTCCATATGACAACTTCAGGGTCAGTCACATGCAGCCCTACTGGGAAGTCTTGTGGCAGGTCATCTGTTGGTCCTGCTCTGCTTGCGATTTATTTTCCTTGACAGTTCATTCTTCTTTCTGTCAGAATACTCTCTTTGCTTTCTTAGCAGCCACCCCCTTGGTCTCCCCACTGCTGTCTCTGGCACAGTTTCACAACAAAGCACATCACTAAGCCAAAGCCTGCTGAGTCGACTTTTCAACTGTGCTGCCTATCACGTGACATTCCCCCTCCCAGATAACAATTCGCTGTGGGTAATATGTTCCTAGTTACTCTTCAGCTTCCAGACTTGGGTCTCAGAAGAGGTTCATAATGACTATGCACAACAGTTCTCTTATCTCACTGGGAGATACCTAACAGTGCTTGCTGTTTGCAAAAGTATAATTGTTTCCATGGTCACTTATTTTTGTGCCCACTGAACAATCTCAAAGGTCTTGCAGGAGACCATTCTCCTCCCAGTAAAAAGGGCAAAGCTGACACACTTTTTGCCTGAGTTTTTTATTTTTTTCTTTTTTTTCTTTATTTAAATGTTGTGACTAACTAGACTATGCATTTGCCAAAACAGAAGACAAAACCTAGAAATTAAAAAACACTACTGACATTTTTACAATCTTATCTATTAGACCCTGCCCTCCTGTATTTGCCAGTTTTATCCAAAGACAAGTGAATTACAAGTTTGCACAGACAGCTTTAACAGTGCAGTTAACTCCTCTCTACAGCCTTTAAAGCCACCAATTCATAGAACATTTACACCCCAGAGAATTAATTTAATCACATTAGCAATAAAAATGAGACAATAAATGCAAGATCGTGACTTCTCAGTCAGTGAAATAAAGACTAGTAGGACTGCATGGAAAACATTCGATTTTTTTCAAGGGTAAGACTTCCAAAATTGAAATAGTTCCATTACTGTCCTAGATAATTTACAAGTATTGTTACAGTCCTGTTTTACTTGAAAAGACCTCAAAATAGCACCAAAAGAGATTTCATCATAAACACACATCTCAGAAAATTATGCCACTTTCTAAATGTACAAGGGCAGGCACATTTACGTAACTAATATCAAAGAGTGCTGAGGCTCAAGTGTTGTATGTTTAGGAATACTGCAGTATACACTGCCCAATCCTTAAATCATCATCTTTTAACTGAAATTCTAGATACCAGGGGTTTGTTTTCCTGAAAATTCATTTAAAATAATGACCCCAACAGGTTTAATACGAACACAAAACCAGATTAAACTAAAAAGAAAAAACCTCTTCTCCCTGTCCCCCGAATTTAAGTGAAACTCCACTGTAGGGCTTAGCTTAGCGAAAGAGCAGTGACAGAGATTATTTCTTCAGGTACACGTGAAGCTGTCAACTCAACATTCCCATTCTTCTGACCTTTTTTACAAGCAAAGCATATGCACTGCTGCAGGCCGAAGGCAATACACAGAGCCAAACAGTGCAAGTGTTACCTCATTAGACGTATCTTCCAGCTTGTTCTGGTAAGCTGTCAAGGTACACCTCAAAGTCTCAAGGACAGCGAGGCTCGAAGGTTTATCTTTGTCCTTACAAGTGCCTGAAGGAAAATACAGAATGAAAATTAAGCCTTAAAGCCACAGAGAAAAAACTACTTGCCCTGCATGAGAGGTATTAAAATTAGTCAGTGCATCAATGACAATACAAAATACTAAGCAGCAGCCTTGTTTGCCATAGGAGATGCAGCCGCACAGCCATACTTTCACAGCAAATACAGCTGAAAGACATTTGTATGAAAGTTTTAATACAGATACAGAACTGTAAATTCTAGATTACATTCCTACCTAACGTATTTAGTATGCAGTCTCACATGTAATTTCTACTGTGATCGAGTCTGTGTCATTCAGTCGGACTAGCCAACTTTAAAACCACATAATAACACACTTTGAAAAACATGTTGCCTGAAAGTTCACGTATGTTACACTTTTCCTGAAATCATTTTGCTGTTGTGACTAAGCATGCACATTATAAGGTAGTACTTCATTTACTCAAAGCTTTACCGAGCCAAAGATCACATGACTATGTTATGCTTGGAGAGGTCTTAAAAACCTTTTAAATGATCTTGAATTTCATTCCAAAGGAAATAATAAAAAAAAAAATTTATTATCATTATCTGTCTGCAGAGTCTTACATAACAATTCAATTATAAATCTTAAAGCAGATATATCCATTATACACACACTACACTTATTTATTAAACCTTTAGACAGAGACTTCTGATCTGACTGCCTTAATTAGGGACATATGAACAAGTTTGAGCATTCCATTGCCCACAGTACAATGTGCTAAGAAAGCAAAACAACACTATATTGATCAAGAGGTCACAAGATGTCAGCTGATATTAAATTTCCAAGAACAAATTACTAATTTTTTTCTTGTGTTACAGCAAAACACGAGGTTATTGACAGATTCTTCTTCTCAGCATTATTTATATTAGTATGCAGCATTTACAAACTTACTTTGTAATAAATTATAGTATCAACTTTTCCAAGAGTCTTAACATGTTCATGTTCTATAAGCAAGCACTGTTTATCAACATTAATAGCATCCTCATTTTGCAAAAGAAGTGAAAAAAATATGTGGCATTTGAACTCAAGAGGCTAAAGTCATGACTCCTAGCAGAACTGAACAATTATACAAACGTTAATCACCTCTGAAAGGTCAGTGACACTAAGCAGCTAACCTAGCTCAAAGCCAAATCAGATACTAAATTCTAAGCCTTTTCTTTGGCCTGCATAAAATTTTGTCAGCTAAAGGAGGTGTACCTACAGACTTGCATGTTGTCTGGGGTTTTTTGGTTGTTTGTTTTTTTTGGTTGGTTGATTATTTTTTTTTCAAATCCTAAGGTTAGTTTTATCTAATAAGCATGACAGTCTACCCAAAGCATTACACAAAAACGATAGATTTGTCCTGCAGGCTATGCATAATGCACCAGTGGTAGTCAGTGGAGAACTTACACATATGCACAAGTCAGAAAATATTGTCAACAGCTGGGGTTTTTTTATATTAGTTAGCCTCTTGTCTTCCAACCCTTTGATAATACCAGAAGGCATACAGTTTTGTTCAGATTGGACACTAACTTTTCCCTTTGATGTGCCAGCCAACCATCACTGTCAAAGTCACATTTAGTCAAACCAATGAAGGTTTACAAGATCTTTTCAGTAACTGGAGCAAGATCTGTGATAGAGCACACAAGTGAATTTAAAGTGAACGCACGTCCCAGTGGCAGACTTCTACTCTGTCCTATCAGACACTCCAGTGGACACTTATTTAGCAGAGTTTCTAAAGGTCTACAGAGTCAGGGAAAAGCAAATTTTTCTTAATAAGACTCCAGTGCCCTTAACCAAATCTCAATTCCTAGAGATGCCACAAATAGCAATGCTACACTTAAAATCAACCAAAGAAGAATTCATAAAATCTGACTTTTTGTGAGAAGTTTAGATTTCACATTTAAGAAAGTGAGTAGTAACATCTTACTATCACTTTTATCACTTAGCCACAGCTATAGTTAAAGATGCACAGGGCTCCAGTTCCATCTTCTCCACTACAAGAGCAACTTCTCACTACTATGCATTGCAGGAACATTTCATGGTCATGTTGTTGCACAGAAAAAAGAAAGCATCATCTTCCATAGTTATACCTCTAGTGAATTTGTAACTCACAATTTTCATTCAGTAAAAATGAGTCAATCTAGGGTTTGTCTTCCATTCCATAGTTTTCATCCAGCTGTCTAAACAATGTATCTACATCTCCACAGATCCAACCTGCAATGCTGTCACCGAAACATACCTCTAAATTATCTCTAATTTACATCATGGTTGCCAAAAAAAGACTTCTGCCACTAAACCTTTTATGCGGGCAATCCTCACCTTTGCTGCAACCGCATTTTCTAGGCAACCCAGTCTGCTAACAGAAATACCAGATTCCACCTTCCTACACTAGCTGAAAACAAGACTATGGCTTTAATACTGGCTAAATCTTGTCTATCATCAGATACCTACACAGGAGACATGCAACATAATCCAAACAGCATTCTCTTGCTGGAGAGGTCCTATGCCAGCAATAAGAGAAAGAGAAACAACACTTGAAACATTTGCCCAGTATCACCTAAAAGTTTGGGGGAAGAATTCTGGGAAAATGCCAGGTTCAGTGGGAACATGACAGGAGGTATACAAGTGAGTACACTCTTCAGTCTGCTGCTTCAGAGTTTCTACTAATGGTACTGGGTCTGTATAGGATCGTTTTCTTCATAGCAGCTCATACGGTGGTGTGGTTTGGATTTTTGACCAAAACAGTACTGGTGGCCTCTGTTAAATGGTGACGCTAACTCAAATCAGCTAACACTTTTAGCACTTCATACTCAGCACACTTCTTTCTTTTCCAGATCACTACAACCAGAATCCCTTTTTTTTTTTTTCCCCCTGAAATGAAGACAAGCTTCCCCGTGCATAAACCGTGTTGCTGAATAACTACAAAATATGATAAACTGAACAGGGACAAACTGAAATCATGCAAATTGCCCAGTGAGAATAACAGTGCTGTGGAAAATATATAAAGGTCACTTTAAAAGCAGAGAGCATGGATTTATGCTCGTTATTTTTGACTGTATAAAGAAACAAAATAACCTTTTAAAATACTTCATTTATTCGTAATCTTCTCTTCTTTTTCCCATATAGCCAAATAATCACTGCCCATTCAGCATAAAAGTGAAGGGGCTGGACGTTCATATTGACAGATTTTTAGGCAGACCTCACAACCACTTGAGTTGAAAGTTAAAAACAACACCAAGAAAGACTGCCCAGCCACATGTGGCTCTTATAGCCCCTGCTAGCCAATCTGCTAATTAGACTACAAAGACTTATTTAAGATTTTCACTTTTATTTGCACCTAGGCATTCCCATTTCAAATACATTAAACATTTTCTTGAAAACTGCAAGAAATACTGTTACATAATAAATTTGTAAGTACAACACAGCAAGGCAACAGCATTAAAATTTGTTTCACATTTAGAAGTGTATTATATATGTAGAACTTAATCAATGTTTCAATCTATGTGCAACCTATGTCTTAATCTATGTTCTAATATTTTAATGTTAGCTGTAAAGACTTAATGCACAGCAGAGTTAAATTTGACTTTCTGCCTCAACGGAGTCTCTGTAGAGATGCTGAAGCTTAAGAAATAAGATCTCTTTTTAAAAAAAAACTTTCAAAGTTTACCTTAAAAAAGGCAAATTAATACTGAAGTTACTGTTATTGAATCCCTAATATCATAGAAACAGGTCAAAGTTGTTTCTTTGCAAGGTTTACCACCAGTGAGAACAGAAAACCTACCCAAAAGACAATTATTGTTTTGGAAGCTGCACTTTGGCAGCAGCATCCAGCTCCCCCCAGAATTGCTGAAACCCTTCTGGGCATGTGGAATTTTGCAAGACTGAGGAAAACATACCATTTGAAGAGCTTTTCTGTCTGACGTATCTACCGTAAACCTACAGGTGTTACCCACAGGAATTAAATTTATAATTACAGAATAAAACTGATACCAGTTCCCAAACAAAAAAATCATATAATCCACGTGAGAAAATCAATGCATCACAGATTGAAGGTTAGGCTTTTAAGCACAACAGAAACCTCAAGAAGTTCCTTTATTCAATTTTGACAGTACCAGGCCCTAAAAAAAAAAAATCTTTTCGTGAAGATACAAAAAAATGCATCATCCTTTAAAGGTGTTACATGACCCATTTATGTCTACCGTTTCTAATGAAGTACAGAAACATATAATCGCAATTTACATAAAATAAACCCATTTGCTCTTTAAGCAACATTTTGCCTTCCACTTTAAGCTAGAAGCATTTTGTGTCTAGTGTGCGATTTTCTACAAGGAACCCACAGAGAAAACTTTTACAGAGAGATTTAAATGAAGATCTTCAGAAGTGTACTATTTTCATATTTTCATATTTTAAAAAAATTAGTAGCTTTGAAGTTCAGCTTGTTTATGTTAGCCACTATTTCAAATGTTTAAGCAGTCAGCAGTTTGTTGAGTTTGATACAATACTTGCATATAAAGCTAGGTTGCAGAGTGATGGCCACTGACCTGCAATTAATTTTAATGAAAATAGAAAAATATTTGTTCTGTATAAGATCCAATGAATGCAATACAGTACTAGTCCACAACCAGCAGCAAAAAATACTGTGTTACATCATGTGTCCTACACAACCTTTTGAATATATGACCTTTAAGTTGCTGAAGGTTGCCTCAGAATTTGGCTCAGTTCAGGCAAAACATCTGTTCCCTTTGCAGGTATACTGTAAGGACTTTTTTCTCAGTTGGATTTAGAGCACAGCAAGTGAGCCCTTTTCTGACCGATCATATACACCCCAGCATTTGTAAATCAAGCTCTGGGCTGACAACAGCAGGTCCACACTCCGTCACCCTTTCTCAGCTAGCAAGGCCATTTGACTGCTGTGAGAACTGCTCTTATCATGTCATCAAATCAAAGCATGTTGAGAAGAGGGAATGCAAGAGGCATCTGCAGAATTCCCACAATGTAGTGACTTTGGAACACTGACAGATGCATCTGTCATTTTATACCTTCAACTAACCTGCTGTCCGCTGGCCTGACATAGCAAAGCTGTCCAAGAGTAGCTCCAGCTCTCTCATGTTGCTTTCATACGTCTCTGTTAGAAAGACCTGGTGTTTCTTGGCCTTTATTTGACAAGGATATAGACAAGACAAGAGGTGGAAAAAAGAAACCCATTAAAATAATAAACAGAAGAAAACCAGATCACAACAGTATTTTTGTTCCCCTTTAAATTTAAATTCCTGCTATATTTCTCATTACTCCTCTTATTAAGCCAAAAGACCAAATATGACGTCACAAGTAAGTAGCACAGAACCACAAAAACCACTTAAAATAGAACTAAAGACTTTAGGTAGTTAAAAGAAAAAGAAAAAATAGATGTACTAAAACATAGCCTTGATTTTCTTCTGCTTTAAAAATATCTTAATGAACATAAATTAACAACTACCCATCTATGCAATGAGATCTATTGTTACACCCTGCAAGGGCATCCAGAAAGACACCAAACTACTGGCAGACAGGCTAGAAATTCATGATCTGGCACTCAGTCAAATCCCACACCTATTCTCATTGCAAACATGCCTACTTTAATTGTTAGTATCTTCCATGCTTTATAGTGATTTCTTCAGTATCAAAACCTCCTCCTTATGCATGAAATATAAAGCAGCAGATTCCTTCAGCTCCTATCACTGAATTTTCTTAAAGAAAACTGTCTACAAAGCGTAGCCTGTTGTTCAAATCAAGACACTGGCTTTATTCTGAGGGCAGAAAGGTATTACAGCAGATGTTTTAATCACTACAATAGAAAGACATGTAAAATCATTCCTTCAATTTATATCTGATATTAAAACTTGCAATTTTCAAAGACATGCATTTGTAATTCCAGACAAGACTAAGGTCCTCTTGAACACATGTAGTTCTGACTTCTCAAAGAAATGTACAATTTTAGCAGGTGATGACAAAATATAATACATCTCAGCAGTTTAGAAAACAAAAAAAAAAGAAACCAAAAAAGCCAAACCACCCCAACCCCAACAACCCCCCCCTCAAATCAAGAGGAAACTAGATTTAAATAATTTCATGATTTTCTTATGACAAAGGTTATGCTCGAAGATGTCACATTGCTTTTAATTACTCTATTTTTATTCTAAATTCTAACACCTATTTCAGTAATTTCCATTTCTACTTGGTGATGGAAGGTTACCCTTTTGTACTGAGAAAAATCTTACTATCATCCCTATAAACTACTGCTTTAGCTATGCTTTGCTGCATGTGTAAGGACCAAGTGAATTTCTCAGTGTGGGAAACATACTCCCCAGAAAAACTGCTACATATTGGTAGCATATAAATGTCAAGCTAAAAAAAAAAAACAAAAAAAACCCACCAAGAAATGCATTTAATTCTCTGCAGTGTTCTTCACTATTCAGTTTAAATATTTCATAAATTTGCTTTACTCTTTCAATTTTAATTATATGTTCTGTATATCAACTAATATATTATTCATATGTGTGTTTCAATGTTAGGTCCCCTGCAGCATTTACACGCCTTTTCTTGTGTGAGAATTTGTACTACACTTCATAAAGAATTTCCAAACCACTTCTATATATTCAAAAATAACTAAGTTTTAATTCTTACTCTATAAAATTATCTACATAAATAGAGCTTGTAATTGCTGAGCTCCAGTAAAAACATTTTACGGGATGTAAACACATTAAAATAATTTACTCTCATGTACTGATATCATTTCAAAGAGCTCACATATTAGAAATAAGAAAATACAACAATGTGATCAGCATCACAATAAAATAAATACTCTTTTTACATACACCACTCCAGCACAAAGTCAGACTAGATCTTCCCAGAAAAATCTTTTCCCATGGAGAGGCCAAATATGAGATTTTTTAATTGTTTTTTATCTCCTCATCCAGTACTTGCATTTGGTTTAGTTAAGTTGCAGTCATTTAGTCAGTTCATTACAGATCATTCAACCTTCACCACCTCTCTGTGCTTTATTTGCTAACTGCATCTACACTCCCCAAGCCAATTTCAGTCTCTTTTTCAACAGCAATAAAGACCAAAAGGAAATTCTTAGACTAGCCAGTTTGTCTCCACTTGGGCTGCAAAGTATTTAGCATCTTTCTTAACTCCAATTTTCAATTACTGTCACCATTACCAGAAACTGACAAAAAAATACTGTAATACTACAGTGCTGGAAATCCAGACAGACATTCAGAGTCCAAAAGGGTCTGAACATATTGAGCTAATTTCTTATGTCTCACGGACAGTGAGGCAGAAGAAATATCTAATCAGAATGCATTGCATCATACAATCATGGAATAATTTAACCTGTCAGAATCTCTGGAGGTCATCTGGTCCCACTCCCCACTCAAAGCAGGGCCATGCTTGAAGTAAGTTTAGGTTGCACAGTCCAGTCCAGACAAGTTTTGAGTGTCCTCAAGGATGGAGTTTCAACAAACCCTCCAGGAAACCTGTTCCAATACCTCACAATCACCACTGTGAAGGTTTTATCTAATCCTACGGAAGCAGGGTATTTGCAATCTGGACAATTCCTTACTACCTTGGTCACAGAGATACTTTCCTTAACTTCCAGTATTTGACTTTGGTATCATCCCATCACCTGTTCCAGGACAGAAATTAAGTTCCATTGATTTTACATTTTCCCAAAACCATTGCTGAATGAAATAAATGCAAACTCTAAGCACACTCCCAGAATAGACCATACAACCTGATGCTGCAAATGCGCATCTCTATCTCAAGTTCACTAACATTTAAAAAATAAACACGTAGGCAGGAGTTTGAGGCCTTTTGAAAACAAACTTACCAAAACTTATCAAAAAGTATCATGCAGAAACTGGGTCCAGTCCTGCAAAAATCTGTCATTATTCTAAAAGGAACTTTCTCTACTTTGTTTACAGTTACTGGGATTTGATTTGGTTACAGTTACTAATACATGGACTAATTCACCCACTCAGTCTGCAGTATAAATTCCTTTTATTGATGGCTGAGCAAGTGCCAAAGCCAGAATTATCCACATAGCCACCAAAAAGCAGTATATATGTTCAGATAACTCCTTGGAAAGCATTTGGGTAATTTTTTTTACAAAGCATTGGAATGTTTACCAGGCATGACCTTGAGGGAACCTAATCAAAGCATTTACAGAAACAGGCTCCAAATGACTGCTCCAGTTAAAAAAAATGAGGTTTACTTGAGACATGTTCTGTATAGGAGAATAGTGGCACAAATTTTCAGCAACCAAGCATAAACTGCAGTATTAAAAAAAAAAAAAAAAACAAAAAAAACAAACCCCTGACAATCTCCTTCCTTACGCTACTTATTTCTGCTCAAGTTATCTAGCTATTGAATACTTGAGTTTCTGTATTTTCACATATTAGTTAGAGTTTTCCAAAGTCTATACAGGGTCTTTAAAAAGTGTCTAGCCATATGTAAATTAAATACAGTTTCTCAAGTAATACAGTGTCTCGGTTTTAATCACCTGAAATAGAATTAATCAAAATTCTCAAGTTTTATATGGAACTACTCTAGACTGCTAAATCTGTAACAACCTGTGCAGAGAAAGAATGTGATGAAGTATCTCTTTGGGGTTTTGAGTTTATTTTATTTTTTTTAGTCAGAGAAAATTTTGTCAGAACTGACAACTTTAAAAGCATTTTTTAGATGCCTGTCTTTAAACACTGGGACATCACAGCTTGAGTGACCTCTCCACTTGCAGAATAAATTACAAAACTGGTTTCTTTGTAGAAGATCATTTAAGCATATGCTTCAGACTGACTGGCCTTCTCTAAATTAAGACAATAACAAGTTGTATCTGAGAAGGAACACTTCACCCCTGAGTTAATGCAAGCAAAGCAAGAATCAAGATAACATAACGTTTAACAATAATTAGCACAACATTAATGAAAACTTCATCTCTTGTTTGGTTTTGTTAATTGAAATGAAAAGCTTGTTGACAATAAATCATCTAGATGAGTTTACATCTTTGCTACTGAGTGCCAGATTCTACCCCACAGAATTTGTAGAACAGAATCATAATCTTCAGGGTGTTTGTCTGTTCAGTCAATACTTAAGAAACTTCTGTTAAAGAACAGAATGCCTACATTAAAGAATTTAATGCCTACATCCAGGAATTCGATTCTTAAACATTTCTTTTCTGACTTTCAGCTTATGATAACCTACAAGACTATTACAGGCAGCAGAGATGTATACAGAGCATGACTGCGTGCATGGCTGTAAGAGAAAGATTTATATGACACACAGAAAAAGACAGGCTCTGGATGCAATCTATTACACTACTTATACGCTAATTAGGCTACCCCTGGTAGTATCTATACAAAGGGAAGGTAATGACTACACAGTTCTTCTGAATTACAAGAAATTTATACTAAAATACACTCTTTTTAACCATTTCAATTTCCTCATATGAATTCTGGTGAATTGGCAAGTTACCCATAAAACGAAGGTTCAATGTCTCTTGCTTGTCCAGTATTAAGTATTATAGAACATTCAGTACCAGGTGCCAGAAATGTAAATATCCTGAGTAACTTTTAAAGCTATTAAAGACACCTCGTTTCTATGGGACATGAATACAGCTGGGGCTGTTTCAATTTAAAACAAGTTCTGAATCACAACAGCCATTCTTCCAAATATCTATTCTTCGAGCTAAAATTTTCTAAAAACCCCAGCTGGAAATAAAGGCAAGCTTGAGACCAATTTCCTCAGAAAAACATAATGGAAATCTTGAGAGCCTGTTCATGCTGAACATTCATACGCAGTTTTGTTTGATACCAATAGATCCTACCATATTTGATCCGTGCAAATTTCTGGCAAACTTCTGCCACATGCTGATATTTAAAATTAAAAGCAGCATAACCACTTCACTATACATTGAACTGAGTAATAAAAAAAGAAAAAGTTCTTTTTCATGTAAAGTTTCCAAAGAATGTGTTTCGTCCCTGTGTAAGTCTGCTTCTCTAAAAACAAAGAGCCTTTGCTATTTTGGTTATATTTCCCAAATATTTTACAAAGAAAAACATTAACTTGTATTATAGCAATACAGTGAGAAACCAGTGTAAGATTATAGACTGGCGTGGAAAGAACATATTCAGGATGTCTAACAAGTTTAAAATACAAGAAAGTAATGAACAGATCAGGAAAGCAGGAGGGGGGAATGAAGGGAAGAGAACATATAGACATTTTCACACAATTTTAGTATGGGTTTAGGGAAGGCTACTAAGAGTATATTAAACATTATCTACCATTAGTTTCTGCTATAGTCGTCTGCCTTTTCATTTTGGGAAGAAAAATAACAAAAAGCTGTTCAGACTGAGTAAATAAGACCACACACAGGCACTCCTGCTTCCCAAACAAATACAAAAGTCTTCAGGAAAAATACAAAGCCATCCAAGGTGATAAAAATCTAATCCCATAGGGGACCACAAATACAAGTCCTCAGAAAATGAGTATTTTTATTACCTGTTCAAGACAGTCTTGTGGTTTGAAATCATCCCAGTAAAACAATTAAAACAACCAGCTCTATGAATAAGACAGTTCTTTTAACTGAGACAATCTATACTGCTTTTTACCTTTCAGTAATGCAACATACATTTTGAGTACATCATTTAATATTGTTGCCATTACCAGAAACTTTGATCACATAATTTTGACCTGAACTCGTCAAGCATAACATAAATCTTACAAAGGAACACAAAATGAAAAGGAAAACTCGTATCACAGAGACAGTTAGCAACTGCTCAAGGTTCCTAGAAGAATTTTTTTGCTTGGAATTGTGTTTTATATTAATAAATAGCAAACATTACTGACTGTAGTTAGGGGAGACAGCTGCTTTTGTCTCTTCTTTTGTGTCTGGTAAGATAACTTTTTCAGGTTAACTAGGCCGGCAAGGGCCTTTTAATACATTAACACTTGAATGGAAGAAGTTGTGACTCTCACAGAAGGAAGAGGGAGGTTTTATTTGATTTTTCTCCAATTTATCAGTTACCGATCTGTCTAGAAAATGGACAACACTAAGATAATGTATGGAATAACTCTTATCAACTGAACAGAAGACACCAACACATCTGACGATCCTCTGATGCAGGTCTCTGCTCTTTCTCACTTATCAGCTCAATGCCTTTCAGCAGCAGGGAACAGACCAAATTTACCTTCCATACTCACAGCTCCAAAAAATAGAAGGAAGAGAAATATGCAAGCCAGTATCAAAAAAAGTATACATTGGCTAAGTATGAAATACTGCAAATGCAACTCCATAATGGAAGGAAAGAAGGTTTTCTAGATCCTAAGATCTTTGCTTTGCCCCTGCTGCTACGCAACAAGATGGAAAAATTCAAAGCTGAAGTGGGTAGAGACAGTGGGAAGGTCCCAACTGGTCATGTAAAAGAAGAAAGATTTCAGAAAATAAAGCAGTAAAATACTTCCAACATGCCAAATCCACACTTTAAAAAAAAAAAAAAAAAAAAACCCCCCTGCCCCCTGCTTTGTCACTTTCAAATAAGCAATTCTCAAGCATTTTTTACAGTCAAATACTTGCACTTAAACCAAAATGTTATGTGAAATAGAAATAATTCAGCCGACAATAGTAGTTAATAAAGTCTGGAAAAGAAAAAAGCTTGGGTAGAAAGCTAGAACATTCTCCACAAGGAATCATAATCCATATCTACAAATTCCTTTCTTTGCTACGAATGCAAACACAAGTTACTCTTTACTCATAACCATAGTTCTCAAGTAAGTTTTCTGCAAATAACTGTTCAGTTAAATACATGATATATCACTTAAAATATATTTTTGAATTAGCTTCTCCAGTGTATTAGCTATATTTACTCGTTTTACAATGTGAAGTCATTATAATCAGAGTAACACAACGGCAGAGTTCTTCCACAGCTCAGCACAACAACTACAGATTATCTTCACAGTATGTTAAAAAAAAAAAAACCTAAACAATGAGTGCCACAGGCCTTTTGTCTTACCATTGCAAGTTCCTCCTGCAACTCTCTGTGGGTTTTTTCATTACTTCCTAGTTTCTCAGAGAGGTCTTTAATTATCTTCTTCTTCTCCTCAATCTTCTCATTCATGTGCTTGTTTGTGGAGATACACTCTCTTTCTAATCTGGAAAGTTTCAGCATTAGAACATTCTTATCAAAAATACTTTTGTTACTTGTACTACATAGTTTTCAACATAAGCAACGCACATACTATGTTAGCACATCATGGTGCTTCTGAAGTTTCTTTGTTTTTTTTCTTCGTTTTTTTTTTTTTTTTTTTAACTGAGGTTATATATTCCTTCTAAAAAATACTTTAAGGAGGGGTTAGGTTCTTCTCTGTTACCAGTGCTTGCATTAGCTTTCAGTCAAATTCATTTGGTCATTTGGATACACCTTCTAAAGTACACATAATAAGCTGAATTCCTCATATTTTAATTAACACAGTAACTCTCTTCAGAAAGACTATATCACATCTTGCGTAATCAACCGTTATTTAAAGTACAAAGCTTGCTCCTAAGGTTTCTACGTATCTGACTATCTTCTACTCTATAGAGTAGAATGGCATAGCTTCAAATTTTTCCACAAGCAGACTGTTTACACAATTTCAAACATTTCTTGCACTGTATTAGTGCTCCTGGTACTCAGAACAGATACCTAAAGAGCCTGGCATGGTTAAGCAGGCAATTCATGAGAAGGCTACAAGGTTAAACAACAGCATACAGAAGACAGAAGCAGGGACAGGGATCCAACGAAGAATTTAGAAAGATTGCCTGAATATGTAGCCATGGTGTCAGGAAAGCCAAAAGCTCACCATGGATTGATGTTTGCCAAGGATAACAAAAAGATTTTAAAACTACATTAAGGTAGGAAAGAAAACGTGGACCTGCTTCTACACAGACTGGGTAATTGAACGCAGGCTATAGAGGAAAGCACAGAGAAGGTCACCGCACTCCACTTTTTTTTTGCCTGACAAGGTTTTCTAAGCCCCTATGACCAGTAAAAGGGCTCAAAGAAGACGACAGTTGCTAGCACCAAGGATTGAGTCAGGGCTTACTTGTAAGAACTCAACCCATGAAACTGAAGAAGGCCAGCTTGCCTACACTCAAAGGTTCTGACAAAGCTGGCCAATGTCACAGTGAGGCAGCTCATCACCATCTTTGAAAGGTCACAGAGACTGGAGGAGGTACCTGGAAATGCAGACCACCAATGTTGCACCTATATTCAGAAAAGGGCAAAAGGGTAAGCCAAGGAACTATAGACCAGAGAGCTTCATTTCAGTTCCAGGAACATCATGAAGCAAGCCCTCTTAGAACAAACTTCTGGGCTCATAAAAGAAAAATGGTGATTGGGATCAGTAAGTGAGGATTTACCAAGGCTAAATCATGTCTGGAAAACCCAATCACAAGGCCAAGTGCAGGGTCCTGCACTTGGGCCAGGGCAATCCCAAGCAGAACTACGGGCTGAATGGAGAATGGATTGAGAGCAGCCCTGAGGAGAAGGACTTGGGGTGTTGGTTGATGGGAAGCTCAGCATAAGCCGGCTTCAGTGTGCATTTGCAGCCCAGAAACCAACCATATCCTGGGCTGCATCAAAAGGAGAGTGACCAGCAGGTCTAAGGAGGTGATCCTGCCCCTCTACTCTGCTCCCATGAGACCCCACCTGGAGCACTGCATTCAGCTCTGAGACCCCCACCACAAGAGGGACATGGACCTGCTTGATGAGTCCAGAAGAGAGCTATGAAGACGATCAGAGGGCTGGAGCACCTCCCCTATGAAAAGAGGCTGAGAAAGTTGTCATTGTTCAGCCTCGAAACCTTGCAGTAGACTTCCAGTACCTAAAGGGGGCCTGCAAGAAATCTGGAGAGGGGAGAGGGACTTTTTACAAGGACATGAAGCGATAGGAAAAGGGGGAATGGTTTTATACTGAAAGAGGGTAGACTTAGATTAGACATTAAGAAGAAATTCTTTATCATGATAGTGGTGGGACACTGGCACAGGCTGCCCAGAGAAGCTGCAGCTGCCCCATCCCTGGCAGTGTTCAAGGCCAGGTTGGACTGTCCTTTCAGCAACCTGGTCTACTGGAAGGTGACCCACCCCATGGAAGGGGGTTGGAACTAGATGATCTTCAAGGTCCCTTCCAACCCAAATTATTCTATGATTCTATGAACCCAGTTATATTCTATGATAAAATGAGATCTGTGGACAAAAGGAGAACGAGTGATTAAATATAACTCAACTTTAGCAAGGCTTTTGGCACTGTCTCATGCAATATTTTTATAGCCAAGTTAGGACTTCAGTCTAGCTAGGCAAATTGCAACTTCAATAAAAATGGTTTGATGGTAAAGCTCTGACGGCAGTCGCTGATGATAAGTGGAATACTGTAGGACTCTGGATTACAATCTGTTTAACATCTTTATCCATCACCTGGATTAGGCCAAGAATGCAATCTCACCACGTCTGAAGATAACAGTGAACTGGGCAGGGGTAGGTGACAACACAACACACTTCATACATTTAAGAGAAGGGCTGCCATTCCCTAGAACCTAGTCACGGAGGAGGAATAGGCCAGCGTGAACCTTCTGAGATTCAACAGTGATGTGCAAAGATATGAATTTAGGAAGCAAGAAGTGGTATGGCTGGTAACTGGCTGAGGAGTAGCTATGCTCAATAAGGACTTGGTAATCTTGGTAGACAGCAAGCTAGCCACAACAGCATTGCATACAAGTAGAGATAGCTAACACCATCCTGGGCTGTATTAGTAGTAGCATAGCCAGAAGATCAAGGGAGGTGATTAATTACCTTTTATTTGGCATTTATTACAACACATCTAGGACAATGACCACCCTGTAACACAGGAAAAAGTTGGAGTGAGCTAAGGGGAGGGTCACTCACATGGGACATTCAAGCTGGAGGAGAGAGAACTTCAGGGTGCATAACAGCCTCCCCCAGTATCTACAAGAAGGTTATCAAGAAGATGCACCCTGTCACTTCACAGCAATGTATAGCTAGAGGACAAGAGACAACAGTCACAAACTGAATCCAAAGAGATTTGGACAAGGAGAAACTTCTTCCACCTTAATGATAGTCAAACAGTGGAACAGGTTCCCAGAGAGGTTCTGTCATCTCCATTCTTGTAGGTTTTCAAGACCTATCTGGATGAAACACTGAGCAACCTGATCTCATAGCTGATCCTGATTTGAACAGGAGGTTGGACTATAGATATTCTTCAATGCCTGAATTATTCTTTGATGTAACTCCTAGCAATGGGAACATCCAGGTGTCTTGCCTTTCCTTTTCTGTTCTATCACTTCTATCTCACTAGAATTGAAAGTACTGCAAACAGTTCCAAGTTCTTCCAGCTTTCGAATCAATATTGTCACTTCCTGACTTTGGCTCATTTCTCATAGATCCACGTATCTTTTAGCTGAAGGACTACTTCAACAGTCCTCTATATACCTATGTGCTTCTGCTTCAGCCTGGCTGTTTGTTTTTTTTTTTTTTTCTTCTAGCTGAGATGATTACTTCTTATTCTTAAGAGAAAGAATTTACCTGCTTCAGTCCCCCGAAGCAGCTTCTACTCCCACAGCTTTCAGAAACACGCAAAACGCAGTTCCAATTTATTCTGTCATGGTCTCACTCTTCAAGAAAAGTAAATTCACATGGAGATCCAAATCCCGTGTTGCTTCCAATTTACATAGAGCTACTGGGTTCAGTACTTCCAATTTACATAGAACTACTGGGTTATTAATAAATTATGCAACCCAAAAAAGCCTGCTTGCTTGGTTTTAGTTATTATAACCATCTTTTCCTGAGAAAAGAAATTGTCGCAGCTTTGTATAGTTTCCAATTTTGGTACCATTTATCCTACTCAAGTCCAGCTGTAAAGACATACAAGTGTTCTAGCGCAACAAACAAAAGCTTCCAAGACTTTCCAAAGACTAAGGCCTTAAGACAAACTAATGGGACTCCTCCAGAGAAAGGTAAAATATGGCAGGATGCCAAACCATGGCTTAAAAGAAAAAACCAAGCTCCTGACATTGTCTGGAGTCCAAGGACCACAGCCTTCAAAGGTAAGTAGATCAAAGGCTCTTGTATTCTCTCCTGAGGGACCTAGTGAACACAATCACTAACACTCACCAGTGTTACTAATACTTGTAAGATTCAAAGAATAAAAAAAGGCACAGGAAACAGGCAAGGTATTACATGCCTACCACATACAATTACCTCACAGAACTGAATATACAGATGTCCATCTGAGACAAAGCTTGACCTTCACTACCCATCTCTGTAAATTTAGGTGTCTGGACCAATAAAATTGTAAGGATGGGCTATTTCTTTTTCTTCAAGCTCTATTAACAAAACCACCAACTGTTTCCCTGTATTAACTTTCATGGAAGGATTTGTATTCTCTAAAATCACAGAAGATAATTTGTTTTCAAAAACTCAGTTGGCAGAAGCTGCTAGGAGTCATTGCCTGAATCAACAGATAATTACAAGTAGTGAAAAGTACTTTTTGGATATTAGACAAAGTTTATTCTGATGTCCAATTAACACAGAGAACAGATGCTTTAAGTAGGCACTGTTTCTTTTTTGTACCAGAAAAAACAAAACAAAAACAAAAACAAAAACCAAAAAAGCAGGAAAAACCAAACAAAAACCAAAAGAAAACTAACAAACACCTCAACACAAACCAGGGCAAATCTTTCCTGAGAAAGAAGTGTTGAACAGAATTACCCAGTTTAAACAAAAAGGGGAAAGCTGTTTAAGGTTCTTGTTGCATTTTAGCAACACAAGTACTTACTTCTCTGTATGCACCATTGAAGTTCCTAATGCATCTGGTGCCATAACTGTAAGAACTGTATTTCCTAGTCTGGTTTTTTTTATATGAGAAAAAAATGAAGTCTCTAAAAACCACTTTTTTTATTCTTTGAATAATCTAATGCAGAAAAGTATCCTTAGCAGTATCGCAAAGACTTGCTGGAAAATTACCACTCACGGATTTTCACAATTTTTAACTAACATTACTAATTTCAAATTCGAAAAGCAGATCTTGTGGTAAAACTTGTAAAGTTCTAATGGTTTGGAAAATGCCTAAACAGACGCTTAAGCTACCATTAAGAATGCTTCTAATTAGCTGACATT